AAGGAACTCGACCTAAACCGCACGCCTGATACAAACACCAGCGCAAAGTGGGTCATATGTGTAAATGTAACATATAAACTGTCAAACTTCAAGAAAAACGGAAAAACCTTTTGGGAACCCAGGCTAGGCCACCAAGAGCGGGAGCTCGGCCCACGGTGAGACACCCTCACACCTGTGGGAAGGGAGAACGTGAAGACGGGCCGCACCAGCCCAACGCGTCCAGAATGTGCTGAAACTGGCCACCCACACCCGGCTCGCAAATGGGCTGCTGCTCTGGGAAGAGCCTGGCAGGTTCTTCTAGAAGGACATGGCCACCACGCAGGACATGGCAACGACACCATGTCCGCGTGCAGATGTGAAGCTCTGCGTCCACACAGACACCAGCAGTGTCTCATTCCCCACAGCCCTGACCTGCACACAGCCCGTGTCCCCCCGGGGTGCAGGGCTGAGGCGGGCTGGCCCACAGCCTGGACACGCCGGGCACGTGGCCTTCCGGCAGGTTTCACCTGTGGAGCATTGTTCAGGGGCGTGCGTTCCCGGAGCACAGGTGAGCGGTGTCCGCAGGCGGTTGGCATCCTGCTGCACACGGCACCTCACGGCCACGCAGGACGCCACACTCGGGAGCCTGCGGACACCTCACCTGAACCTAGTTAGTTATTGCAGAATAAAAAGTTTAAGTTTTAAGAAAGAGCTAATGGAGGGCAGCTGGGTGGCTCAGTCGGTTAAGCATCTGACTTCGGCTCAGGTCATGATCTCGTGGTTCCTGGGTTCGAGCCCCGCGTCGGGCTCTGTGCTGACAGCCACCTCAGAGCCTGGAGCCTGTTTCAGATTCTGTGTCTCCCTCTCTGTCCCTCCCCTGCTTGTGTGCTCGCTCTCTCTCAAAAATAAACATTTTTTTAAAATAAAAAAATAAGAAAGAAAGGGCTAAGAGAGTCCTCTGATAAGAGAAACGGTGTGTCGTGCAGGGAAACACAGCGGCTCCTGGAGTCCCCAGAACAATAGAGGTGGAAGTGGGGCCGGGCCCCACGTTAGCCAGCACACCCCGCCCCTCGCTCTGCGGCCTCTGCCTGTGCGCCCCCCGCACCACCACCCACACCCAGCACGGGTGTGCAGGCTGGACACCCCTGCCCTCCGGTGCCCGCCGCTCCCCTCCCCACGACGTCGGCACCTGGCGTCACAGCCCACGCGTCCCCACAGACAGACTGAAGGAGGGGCAGCCTCAGGCCACCCCACCGCTCCGCTCCCGGAGGCGACGCAGCTGCAAAGGCCAGCCTGGGAGCCAGCGGAGGACGCGGCCGGGACGGGGCACTGGGCGGCAGGGCGAGCAGAGGCCGGCGGCCAGCGGAGGCCCCGCAGGTGAGCATCCCAGCACCGACTACCGACTACCGACTAGGCTCAGAGACCAGAGGCTCAGAGGTGCGTGAAGCCTGCACTCAGTCACCAGTAGCGTCCCAGGACGGAGGCGAGCCCGCCCCTCATCCCTGCATGGCTCCCCGTGCCCCACCCCTCCCGCTCACCCTGGGGGCACCCATCAGGCCAGGGCGGGACCCAACGGGCTTTGGAAGGGGCAGCTCTGTCAGCCTGCAGGCCCCTGAACACCCACCCACTACCCAGCGCCTGACGAGACCCGGGGAGGGAACAGCGAATCCCTGAGGACACACACAGGCCACTGGCTTTGCCAGCTCTGGTGCTGAGCTTCTGGGGTTTTCCATTTTCCTCTCCATGTTTCTCAGGAATATATGCGTTTTTACAAAAAACACTTACTTTATTTGCTGTTGGGAGAACAGTCAGCCTATGTAAACTATAAGACGGTAAACTCTCCATTGCTCATTTGAGACTCCAAACCTGCGGCAGTTCCCATCGAGCCACTGTCTCCACGTCTGTTTATACATGGAAAATTTAATTTCTACTTAGCTGCCCTAAATTTCTCTGAGGAAAAATGCGGTTAAGAAACCCAGGAGGAACGGACACGGAGTGTAATTCTGCTTTCTGCAAACACACTTTTGCAAAATGTTCTCTAGGTTCCTTTCCACTGAAAATGCATTTTGTTCAAAGACAGAAAGTGTCCCCTAAATAGGGCTCTGCCGAGCATGTAGCTGGAAGCCAGGGGGCACCGAGGATGGCCCACACCTGGCTTCGGGCCAGATGCCAGCGTGAGGGGGTGAGGGCCCGGCTGCCGAGCACTCCCATTACCTCTATGTAAACAAAACAAAAGCAGAATTGCCCTAAAAATATTTGACAGTTCAGTCATCTCAGCCAAAAGGAGCCGGTGGGATGCGCTGGAGAACTTGCGGCCTCAGACCCTTACACGAGGTGGCGTTTGAGAGCCTTGCAGACAGAACAGGACAGTTATGCGAGGCCCTGGGGAGTGAGGACATCACCCCGGGTGGAAGTGGCCAGGGGACACAGTGCTCTGACACCAGCCACTGAAAGGGGTGCCGTGTCTGCGGGTTTTTTTTTTTTTTAACCCCATAAGAAAGAAAATCACTGTGTACACAGGCACACCTCGCATCACTGCGCTTCGCAGACACTGCATTTTCACAAATGGAAGGTTTAGGCAACCCTGTGTGGAACAAATCTTTTGGCACCATTTTTCCAAACTTGTTCATCGTTCGTTATTATATTTGTTTTGGTGATCTGTGATCTTTCATGTTACCGTGCTAAGCTGAGGCACCACTCATATGGTGGTGAGCCAGCCCATATGAGACAGTGAACTTAACTGACGAACACTATGTGTTCTGACTGCTCGCCCGCCACCCCCCATCTCTCTCCCCTTCCTCAGGCCACCCTATTCCCTGAGACACAACAGTACTGACATTAGGCCGATTCTGAACCCCACAAGGGCCTCCAAGTGTCCAAGTCAAAGGAAGAGTCACATGTCTCTCACTGTCAATCACAAACTAGAAAAGATTAAGCTTAATGAGGGAGACAGGTCGAAACCCAAGACGGGCCGAAATCTAGGCCACTTGTGCCAAACAGGCAGCCAAGTTGTGAAGCCAAAGGAAGAGTTCTTGAAGGACACTGTGCGCACGTGCTACTCCAGTGAACACACGGGTGATGAGAGAGTGAAACGGCCTTACTGCTGATGGGGAGGAAGCCTGGCTGGTCTTCCAGGAAGACCAAAGAAGAGCAAAGCAGCCACAACGTTCCCTTCAGCCGAAGCCTCGCCCAGAGCAAGGCCCTGACTCTTCGATCCTGTGAAGGCTGCGGAGGTGAGGAAGCGGCAGAAGGAGAGTTGGGAGCTGGCAGAGGTTGGTTCGGGAGGTTTCAGGAAAGAAGCTGTCTCTGTAACGGCAACGTGCAAGGCGAGGCAGCGCGTGCTGACGCAGAAGCCGCGGCGATTATCCCGAAGATCTGGCTGAGAGGATTCATGAAGGTGCTCACACTAAACAGCAGTCTTTCCATGCAGATCTAAGAGCCTTCTGTGGGAAGAGGAGGCCACCGAGGAGTTTCATAGCTGGAGACGAGAAGTCGGTGCCTGGCTTCAAAGCCTCGAGAGACAGCCTGACCCTGGGTAGGAGCGAATGTCGCTGGTGACTGGAGGTGGAAGCCAGTGCTCACTGGTCACTCGGAAGTTCCTAAGCCCGTAGCAATTGTGCATAATCTCCTCCGCCCATGCTCTTTATGTGGAACAACAAAGCCTGGCAGACAGCACATCTGTCTACAACATGGCTGCCTGAGTAGTGTAGGCCACTGCTGAGACTTGCTGCTCAGGAGAAAAGACTCCTTCCAAAATATTACTGCTCAACGACACTGCACCAGGTCACCCGAGAGCTCTGATGGAGACGAGCGATGAGATCACTGGTGCTTTCGCGCCTGCTGCCACACCACCACCATTCTGGAGCCCGCGGATCAAGGGGCAATTCTGACTTTCCAGTCTCATTATTTAAGAAATACCGTTCGTGAGGTCACGGCTGCCGTCCACAGTGATTGCTCTGATGGATCCGGGCAGAGTAAATGGAAAACATCGTGGAAAGGAGTCGCCATCCCGGAGGCCATGAGGAACACTTGTGATTCATGGGAAGAGGTCAGAATTCAACATGAACAGGACTTGGGAGGAAGTTGACTCCAGCCCTCGGGGAGGACTTTGAGGGGTTCAGGACTCCAGGGGAGGAAGTCACTGCAGACGTGTGCAAACGGGAGAACAGAAGGAGAAGAGGGGCCTGAAGACGGCACGGAGCTGCCGCCACCTCAGGATAAAACTCGAACGGAGGAGGACCTGCTTCCCGTGGATGAACAAAGAAAGTGGTTTCCTGAGACGGAAGGTGCTCCTGGTGACGATGCCGTGAAGACTCTCAAAATGACAACACAGCATTGAGAAAGTCACGCCAACTTGACTGACAGAGCAGCCACAGGGTGGGACAGGATGGACTCCTGTGTTTTTTTTTTTTTTTAATGTTTATTTATTTTTGAGAGACAGAGAGACAGAGCACGAGCAGGGGAGGGGCAGAGAAAGAGAGAGACACAGAATCTGAAACAGGCTCCAGGCCCTAGGCTGTCAGAACAGAGCCGACGTGGGACTCAAACACACGAACTGTGAGATCATGACCTGAGCTGAAATCAAACGTTCAACCGACTAAGCCACCCAGGCGCCCCTGGACTCCAGTTTTGAAGGAAATTCTGCGTGTAAAACACTACCAAATAGCATCACGTGCTACAGAGAAATCGTTCCTGAAAGAAGAGTCAGTCAATGTGGCAAACTTCACAGTGGTCTTATTTTCAGAAATGGCCACAGCCACCACCTCCCTGCGGGGTCAGCAGCCACCACCTTACAGGGTCAGCAGCCACCTCCCTGCGGGGTCAGCAGCCATCAACATCAAGCAAGACCATCCACCAGCAAAAAGATCACGGGTTGCTAAAAGCTGCGATGATGGTTAGCGTTTCTTAACAGCAGAGTATTTCTACTTAAGGTGTGAACACTGTCATTACCATAATGCTACCGCACCCTTCACAGACTACAGTACACTGAGAACATTTACAGGCACCAGGAAACCGAAAAGTTCATTTGACTCACTTTATTGCAATATTCACCTTGTCCCAGTGGTCCAGAAGCAAACCCTCAATTTCTTGAGGTTTCCTGTAGAGATTCAAGAAGTAGGATGACAAGGGGCTGCCACCAGCACCCAGGCCCAGGTCCTAGGTACGGGGTCCACCACCATCTGGGCCACACTGCAGTCAGGTGCACCCATTCTCTCCCATTAGGAGCCTTACTCTGAGCTTCTCATTAACCAAAGGTGATTCTACCTTCACAGCACCCCCCCCCCATACAGTAAGAAAGGAGGGAGGGGGAGGGCTTACTGGAAATTAATTACTGGGAAACAAAAGGCCCTCGTTACCGGTCAAGCGTATGTCACCAGCAACTTCATTTTAAAGCCCTAGCTGGACCTCCGGAAAGCCTGTGGGGATCCCTTCGATGCACCAGACACACCAGACACGGCCTCTGGAGTCTGTCACCTCCCACCCAGTCAGGCAGGGGCTGGGGGCCACCCCCATGCTGGCCCCTGTGCTGTGTTCCTGCAGGGGACCCTGGGGGCTGAGCAGCCCCAGGAAGGCATGAGCTGGGAGGGGGCTGCAGGGGGGTCAACTCTGAGCTGAGTGCCTCAGCTTCCACCTGGAACAGCGGCCCTTCCCGTGTCCCAGGGCGAGGTGCTCCATGTCCCCAGGTCACTTCGGGGCCCCAAAATGCAGACCCCCTCTGGGTGTACCTCAGATATGCTCAAAGGCTCCCACAGCTCACAAGGGCTGACCCGGAGTGGGGTGGGGGGAGCTTCCTGAACTCACTACCAGGAAGAGTCAGCCCAAGTCCAGAGCTCCCATGGCACTGGGTCCTGGGCTCCCCTCCCTGACTTCTGTCTGGCAAACACACAGCTCCCCCCTTGCGCGCACCTGCTCCTCTGTCCGGCATGCTTTATCTGAACCAGATCCTTTCTGGAACAAGATGGCAAAGAGGCAGGAGGGGGGAGGAAGGTGAGGGGAGGAGGGGGAGAAGGAGGAGGGAAAATGGAGGGAGGGAAGGAGGGAAGAGGGAGGAGGGAGGGATGAGGGAGGAGGCAGGGAGGAGGGAGGGAAGGGAGGAGGGAGGAGGCAGGAGGGAGGGAGGAGGGAGGGAAGGGAGGAGGGGGAAAGGGGGGGTGATGGAGGGAGGTACAAAAAAGGAAGAGGATGGGTCACTAAGTGGTTAGTTAGTTGAGAGCTACTAGAGGTGCAGGAGCCTCAGGGGTGGCAGGGCGCTGCCACCTCCTGGGCCACAGTGCAGGGTGTGGGGCCAGGCAGCAGCCCCCAAGGGGACTAGACGGCCTGCTGTCCCCCAGGGGTAGATCACTACCCAGCCTCTCACTGGACAGCTGGCATCTGTGCGCACGTGCACACACACACTAGTGCACGCACACACATGTGCTCACAGACATGCGCGTACACACGTGACTTGCACACATGTGCACCCACACACGTCCATACACATGTGCATGCGCACAGGTGTGCACAGACAACACACACGTGTGCGCACACGCACAGTGGGCAGCGGCTGCGGGGAGGAGGTGGCCCGAGTGGGCTGGGGTTGTTGAGCCGTGGGCACGCCCCAACTCCATCTGTGCCCGAGGGAGGCCCCACACACAGCCCAAAGGCCCCTGGGGGCCCTCCCCTCACGTCCTGGGGCAGGCGGAAGCCCCCACAGCTGGCCTGGGGCAGGGCTGGCGGCACAAGCCTGAGGCGGCGTTCCGCCACTGGGCGGCCACTGCCGTCGGAGCGGCCGTGCGGTGCAGGGAACACCGTTCCGCTCCTGTCACCCACAGCAAGCCCCACTGGACAGCGGGGGGCTCTAAGGCACGGGCCCCAGGCACATGGCAGGGGGCAGACGGGCCTGTCTTGCCCTGAGCCCCCAGCGCCAGTCTGTCCACTGCGCCCAGAGCAGGGCCGGGGCCCCACGGCACAGGCTGGGGTCACCGAGCAGGCCCACCACAGGCCCGGAGACAAGCTGTCGCGACCACTGTGGTGCAGATGAGGAAACTGAGGCCCCAGGCCAGGCGCTGCCCGAGGGAGTCTCTGCCTGTGGGGCCCTGGCTGCACAGAGGAGGTGGCCCTGCAGCCAGGCCAGGACGGACCCCGCCACCCGCACGGCTAACTCTTCTGCACAGGCGCTGAGGCTGGGCGGCCGGCTTACACTAGTTCACAGGGGAACCGGGTGTGCACACTCGACCCCTTCTAACCTGGGAAGGCGCCCCGCACGCCCAGTGTCCTGGTCCACACCGCCCAGGAGCCAGGGGCCTGGCTCTCCAGCCTCTGTCAGGGAAAGGGATCGAATGTATCCGAAGGGCTACTTTTCCTAACCAGAGAGAAGGCGAGAAAGACAGAGGGCGCCAGAAACGCTGAAAACTTCAGTGACACAAGCCAGTTTGAGAAGACAACACCCTCAGGGTCTTGCTGGTGTGACATTCTGGCTGCCAGGGGTTCTTGGGCGTGAAGTGATGGGCGCGGCACCGTCACCGCACGCTGTCCCACGCCCACGGAAAGCCCTTCAAGGGTGACCCGACGACGTGTGCGCTCTGGGCCGCGTTGCTGGGTGCGCGCAGGCTCCCCGTCTGTAACAGGCGCCCCTCGGAGGGGTGGGGGCCGGGGGCGCAGGGGAAATCTCCCAACTTCCCTCCATTTTGCTGTGGGCCTAAAACTGCTCTCAAAAATTGTTTTTATAAAAAGGCAATCCAGCGTCTGGGACGAGGTCCCCGTTTTCGAGGCCACCTCAGACCGCGGCGTCTCTAAGCACACACCCCGCTGCCCTCCGGGCGGTTCAACCGGACGTGCGGGCTTCCGCACGCAAACGCGCACGTGCCCAGCAAACAGCCGGGGGCGCGGCCGGGGGCGGGGGGAGCCGAGCCCCCTGCGCGAACCACCTGGGCGCACGCAGGCGCAGAAGGAGCGGCGCCGGACCCCGGGGCCCAGGACCTCACCCCTGCCTCTCGGGTCCGCAGCCTACTCACCGCCTTCCCTTCCCTGGGGGGCGCAGCAGGAGGGGCCCGGGTCCGGTCGGCGCACGGCGGGGCCGCCGCGGGGCGGCTCGGCGGCCCTGCCCCCTCCGGCCCTCCCTCGGGCGGGGCGGCGCCCGCAGGCAGCCCCTTTCTTCTCCAGCCCGACAAAGCCAGCAGGGGGCGGGGCGGCCCCGGGGATGCCCGCCGTCGCCATGGCAACGCGGAGGGCAGGGCGGGTGGGCGCGGTGGGACGGGAGCCGGAGTCCCGGTGGGCGGAAGCGGGCCCGGGCAGGCTGGGAGAGGGGTCATTTATCGTTCCGAGCCCCCCTGCCGCCCGCCGTCCCTCTTACTGGCTTGTTACAAGGTCCTGAGGCCACAGGACACTTTAAATACTCCACCAGCACAGTGAGCACGTCCTAGGGCGGCCCACGGGGAGGATACAGAGGGCTTTGTTTGGAGGCTGTGCGGGTGTGTGTGGTGTGGTGTGTGTGTGATGTGTCTGACGTTGTGTGTGTGTGACTGTGTGTGTGACGCTGTGTGTGCTGTGTGTGACTGTGTGTGTGACGCTATGTGTGTGTGTGACATTGTGTGTGGGACGCTGTGTGTGTGTGATGCTGTGTGTGGGTGTGGGTGTGGCTGACACAAGGCCCAGGTAAGACCTAGGCAGCCCTCGAGGCACCCCAAGTCAGCTCTCGGTCAGTGAGGGACACACACACACACACGTGCCCACAACAGAGTGACATGCATGCAGCATCAGGGACAGGAGGTGACAGCCAGGGTGAGGCCCCCGGCACCCAGGAGATGCTGGGCCCATCATCCTGTCCTCTGGAGACAGCTCCAAGTGTCCCCATGTGGCCTTTCCTTTGCTGGGAAATCTGCAGCTAGAAACATAGGCTTGTGGTCCGGCAGGAATGCCGTGACATCGGCTCCTAAAGTGAGCACTACGTGGCATTAAACAGTTAGGAGGCTGTGCAGCAGGGCGGAAGGAGGCAGCCGTGGGGGCCGGGATCACCACTCCAGAAAGATGCCTTCTGCCACATGGAGGGATGGAGGGCAAGTGTCCCTTCTTCCCACTCAGCCGTGATGGAAGAAGTCTGGCAAACAGCCACCAGGAAAGACCAGGCCACTAGCTTTCAGGCACTTCCCATCCAGGCTGCATTTCATCGTCCAAACCCAGGTCTTTTCACCCAAAACTCCCACCTGGTTGCCTCTCAGAGAAAGGCTCCCTCCCAGTCCGAAGCCACAGGGGGTTGGCACAGTCACATTTCCAGATTCAGCCCCAAGGTCATCCCAGAAGGACACCCATGCAGGTGCCACCAGGGAACTCCATCCCGGGGACCCGAACCCACAGGGGACTGTTTTGCTCAAACCGCAGTAAAGAAAAGGTGTCATTGGCTGAGGTCTGAACCGTGTGACTGGGCTGTGGCCTGCCACAAATGGCAGAGACATTCAGTCCCAAACGTTCATCTGCCGACTGTAAAGATATCCACGCAACAGCTGGTCACCAGGCGTTTCCGCTGTGCTACTTGGAGCACAGAGGCCGAAGCAGCCTGTCCCCAGCAGGCTGCACACTCGCTCTTTTCTCTGCAGCATCTACCCCCAAGCACACTCAGTCTTGCAGCTCCCCCTCTGACTCCCACCCACAGGGTGACCCCTGAGAAGGGACCCCGGCACCTCCAAACTCCTGCGCCTGTCTGGTGTGCCAGAACGCTCTCCTTCAGCACCCGGGCATCACACCTGCGAGGCCACAGCCAGGAGCTCGGCCACTTTTCCCCGAGAACACTTGCCAGGTGTCAGGCCCCCACAGAAGGGCCTCATCACTTGCCCCCAGGGAGGTGAGCATCATTAATTCTACTCACAGACATAGAAGCCTCAGACGAGTGAAAAGCTCAAGAAGCCTGGTTCTGGGTGATGGAGCCCCTAGCGCATCCGGACAACATGACAAGGCGGTTGGAGCTCTGCCTCCGGGCTCCTGGCTCACCGGCCTTGGCATGGGTGCCGGTGGGCTGAGGCCGGCCATCTGGGTGCCACCGTGTCTCTCGTCCTGATGGCAGGAGCAGAAGCCACGTATGTGCACACACACCTGTGTGCTCACACACACTCACACACAGTGTATGCAAGTATGTGCAACACGACACCCACCTGCACACACGCACACGTGTGCTCCCACCCCACATTCCTGTGCTGTGACAAACCCAGAATTTTCTAAATTAAAAAAATACTTTACTGTGTTTTTTATTAAAAATTTCTTTTTTTTCTTTTAATGTTTTATTTCTGAGAGAGAGAGAGAGAGAGAGCATGAGCAGGGAAGGGTAGGAGAGAGAGGGAGATACAGGATCCGAAACAGGCTCCAGGCTCTGAGCTGTCAGCACAGAGCCCGACACGGGGCTCCACTTCATGAAACGGGAGATCAAAACCTGAGCCGAAGTCTGACGCTCAACCGACTGAGCCCCCAGGTGCCCCTCGAATTCTCTAAAGGACAGGAGCCAGGAATACAGGGACACGCCTCCAGGCCTGTTTTGGTTGCTGTGAGCCAAAGTGATGCTCACTCCCGGGGAGGGTGACTGTGGCCCCCCCCAGAAGGAGCAGGACAGGAACAACCTGTGCCCTCGGATTCCGGAGCCCTGAAGCAAAGCCTGGGTCCCGGCTTTGCTGGTGGAGGCCCTGAGACAAGGCTGGGGGTGCCCGGGGGCGAGGGCAGGGCCCGTGAGTCCCTCTCCCAGGGGCCCTGACCTGCTGCTCTCCCATCAGCCTGCAGACAGGGCGTCTCTGAGCAAGAAGCACTTCCCCAGGTGGCCTCAGGGCCGCCCCCCGGCTGGCGGCCCACACAGTGAGTGCAGCAGGGAGGCGAAGGTGGCCACAGGGCCGGGGGGGGGGGGGGGGGGCGATGAGGGTTGGGGGGCAGCTCCCGTTGTGTTTGCGGAGGCCCCACCCATGCCTGGCCACAGCTCTAGCACTCTGGGGTGACACTTCCCAGGTCTCAGACCTGAACACACAGCTTCTCCAAGGTTGCCTCTCTGCCACTGACATGGACACGGACATGGGGCACCACGAGCTTAAATGACGAGCACATCAGCGCTCTGGGAATACGGTGTTAAAACCCGTGCCAACTCTCCCTTGGAAAACAGTGTATTTCATCTCCACTCAGCCCAGAAGAGCATCAGCGGACAGAGAACCTAGTGAGACGCTGTCTTGACAGGGCTTCAGGTTCCGGCAGCACGTGCAGGGACCTGGGGGCCTGAGTCGGAGGGAGCCGACCCCCTCTGCCTCAGGCCACTGACCCTGCTTCTCTGCAGTCCAAGGCAGCCCAGCCAGAATGAAACCCCTGACCACACCCTGTCCCTCAGGGCCCCACTCACCACACCCTCCTGCCCCCCAGCGACCCCCCCTGTCCCTCAGGGCCCCACTGACCACACCCTCCTGCCCCCCAGGGATCCCTCCACCACCACAGCCTGTCACTCAGGGCCCTCCTGACCACACACTGTCCCTCAGGGACCCGCTGACCACACCCTCCTGCCCCCCACACACCCTGTCACTCAGGGCTCCACTGACCACCCCCTCCTGTCCCCCAGGGGTCCCCTGACCACACCCTCCTGTCCCTGGGCATCTCCTGGAAATACAAGATCAGGCTGGAGCATCTTCTGGTGCCAGAAAGAAAGGAAATGCTAGAAAAATGTGGGACTTGTCAGTAGGACTTGGGACCCGGTCTGGGGCAGCTCCCAGCAGCCAGAGCTGGAATCATGTGAGCAACAAAAGAAATGGTATCAGATTTAACCCACAGAATAAATACCCACGTCCAAGCTCATATTCGTAACTGAAGTCCGCCAGCCGTGCGGGGGGACGAGCCGGCCTCCCTGGCAGAATCCCCGCCCGCAGCGGAGCTGGGCAGAGGCCTGGGAGGCTCGGGAACAGGGGCTCCGGACGGAACCAGGCGCAGGAAGCCGGCGGGGGTCTCGGGAGAGGCGGGATCCGCACCGTCCCCCCGAGATGCTTACCAGTGCAAGGAAAAGGAGGGGCCTGCCTGACCCAGTGACCCAGCCAGGTGGCCAGGGGTGCGCTGCGGCTACACGCCCGTCCCGGAAGCCCCGCCGTCACCCTCTGCGGCGTTCCTGCCCAAACGCAAGCCGCCAGCAGCCGCGAGGAAACGGAGGGCAGGCTCAAATGGAGGAGGCGGCCCCTGGCGCTGTGGCAAATCGGGGAGAGTCAGGAGAAGTGACAGCCACGTGCAGGGTGGGACCCCGGAGCAGCAGAGGAAAAGCACTGCCAGTTCGGTGAAGCGTGGGTAGGTCTGGAGTTTAGATGGCAGAGTCTCACCAAGCCAGGGGGCCCAGTTTGTCGGTGTGCCGTGCTGGTGCTCCGTTGGGAGAGCCCCGTGAGGAGACTGGGGCTCAGTATCAGCTCCCCAGCTTCTCTGTAACTCCAACACTGGCTCAGAATAAAAACCTCGGCGGTTCCCCACGGCCTGCAGGATGAGGCACAGATGCCCTGTCTTGGCATTCAAGGCTCCTCAGAGAGGCTCCCGCCTTCC